AACGCGCGATTACGAAATCGCACGACCGCGTTGTTGATAGACGCCAGTGGTGTTCGTTGCACAATTGCTGAATTCGATGAATTCACCTCTTGATTGACCTCTTGATTGGATATTTCTCCTTCACTCTTTTGGTTGGGGACTTCAGCTTTATATCCACTGATGATGTGAGACAGGTCTTTCCTTTAATTCTCGTCTATTTCATCGTAGTCATCCAGCGAAGATTCGCGAGCATGGCCTGTTATTTCGCAGATAATATTACGCGGTTGACTAGATTTCTTCAATTTCGACACCAGAGTCTTCCTCATACTGTGGTTCGTCAACCTTTTATTTGTCGTCAGGCAGGAGSCCATGGACTTCATGATAGTGCCGATGGTGTTTTGTCCCATTCGGATTTTATTGTACCACACATCTGCTGATTTAGGACGATTTATTATGCTACGATAGATTGGTCCTTTGTCCTTCATCCCTTCGGGTTGCTTAGACAACCACAGCTTGAAGAGTCGTACAGGATCTTTTTCTCCGCCGTCAGTGCTGTACATAACCTGCGGTGTGGTTCTTCGTCTGATTCTTAGACCACCACTTCGTGTTTTAGTGGGACTTTCACGAAATTCTACGACTTCACTGCCATCTTCTTGTTGTCTTATAATCATGTCCTCGACGTAAGAGTCGTAGTGCCTCTGGCGGCCTCGTAAACCAAGTTGCTCTGTCAAATTCTTAAAGTTGACGTTTGTCAGGACTTTGGCATTGAAGTCAGCCAACTGACCTTTTTCCCATAGAGCTGACTCTTCTTCTGGTGCCAAAGGCTGAGATTTGTTAGGCCTTTTTCCCTTCCCTTGTTCACGCAGAAAAATTGCCTTCGCGTTGAGGATTCCTTGTGAGCTTTGAAACTCCCTCGCTCGCACGATGCTCAGAGGATAACCTTTATCCTTTAAATGGCGTTCAATTRAACTTTGCATTACACGGAGAGATTCTGGCTCGTAGTCTTCTCCRTCCCTTTTCTTCACCTCGGCATAAAACTTAACGAGRACCTTGTCTAGTTCTTCTGGTGCCATTTTTTCGATGACGATGTTGTCAAGATGGCGGGATGTACACCAGCTTTCAAACACGTTCATCCACTGTTTTGTTGAGCGTTTAGTGTTCTTGTTTTCAGCCACCGACTTCAGTTCTTCTATGTCATTATTTGAAATTAGTGGAAATCTTGAAATATCGTAGTTT